TGTTGTTGCCGCTCTGTGTGTGGCCGCTGTCACCCCCCTTTTTCTCTCCCTCCCCACCCCATGCTCCATGTGCTGCTGCCGCCCCCGCTTTGCGTTATCTGAAAACTCCTGCCGGGTTATTTCAGATAACCAGAATTTTTACATAACCGTCAATCTCCTTTCCCTGGGGATGCCAGATAACAAGTATTTTACAGTAGTAGGTTTACACATATCTAATAGCAAGCTTCTGTGCCTTCAGCTCCACCAGTACTATTCATTTAGTTCATGCAGAAAAGGAGGCGAAGCATATATGCTTTATTGTTTCACTTTAGAAGTTACAGAAAGTGAACATTTTTATTTTAAAACAAAAATTAAGGATTCTCTCTACGGTGTTACTTAACTCTTAGAATGCATGCACCATTAATATTACAAACTCTGGGCTCTGTCAGTGTGAGGGTACAACAGAACATAATCCTTTCTGCTCTCATTTTTGTATCATTTGAGGAAGTGAATTTAAAATCCTATTTTGGCCTATTTAGTTGTTCCTTCTTTCCTACAAACAGTGTCTTGTCTGCTGTAATCCAGTTAGGCTGATGACCATTCAAGCACAGATTCAGATGAAGAGGAGGAAGAAAATGGATATGGAGGGTATTAATTGTATTTATCAGTTTGGATGGCAGGTCACTCAGAATATCTTGCATAATAATTGCAAGAAACTTCCAGGATCTTCTGCCTCATATGGCTAAGGCATTGGAAATTGAGGTTTTCATGGTACAGGGGATTTTATAAATATTCTTGAGCATAATGCAGCTTCAGTCAATGGGCATAGTGCTTATTGTCTGTTTAAAAAAAAATAAGTGCCCTGAAACCCTTCTTACTTCTACTTCTCTTCTTTCTTTAACTAAAAAGGTTGATAACCTATGCCAGGTATCACACATAAGTACTCTGAATAATTGTACTTTTTCTGCCTGCTAAAGTGTCTTTAGTTGTTTGTGTGGTAGTCGACAGGTCAGAAGTCGGACAAGTTATTAAGTCATCTTCCACAGAAAGCAGGGAAAGCAAGGAAAATAGAATTAAATGAGAGGATGCTGGAAGTGATAAATATACTCCTGAAGCCCTTTCAGCTCTCGGCACTTAGTACCAGATGGACTTAGCCATATATGCATTCAAAGCCAGATTTGCATTCAAAATCTAGAATGGATGCCTGCCAAACATAGATTTCCTCTCAGAGAAGTACATCTGAAGCCTGGAAAAAGTCATATTCTGCGAGGGCTACTTAAAAGGCTGGTAGAAAAATTCCATATGTGTAAATTTTTGATGGCGAACACTTTTTTGGTGAAAGTTTCCCAGTTTTCAGTCAGTTCTACTTGTTTGCAGTTCCTCTGAAACAACCTGTTTCATCACCATAGCAATGATTCTTAATGTACATTTCATGAGAGAAGAATTCCAGCCTCTTATTTGGAAGACTCCGTTTAAGACCCTAGCAAAACTTGAGAGGCCAAGTCTACTGTCAGGTGGCCTCTCATGTCATGCTTTTAAAGATGTCACTCTTTTTTTTTCTCTCTCTCTAATGCCCAGAAGACTAGTACCACTTATTTAGACTGTAGGTGAACACTAACTTTTCTTAAGAATGAGGCAAATTTATATGTAGTTCTCAGTTGTACCATGTGTTCAACATATAAGTATTACGTTTAACTGGCAGACAAGGTTCTTTGGGTGAATCTGATCTCTTTTATTAGACCAGCTTAAATAGTTGGAAAACAATTATTAAGCAAGCTTTTGGGTTCAAAAACCCTTCTTCAGGCTACGGAAGTTTCAGCAGTTGGTGTGTGGTCTTCCTGGATGGAATGAAAAGTAAAGACTGACTACCTGTCTTGTATGCATACCACACCAGCCTGCCCCACACAGATCCAGGGACACATGCCCACTCCCATGCCCTCCCAGACTGGCAGTGCACGGCAGCTCTAAGTGGCAGGAGTCCCCCTCCCCAAGTCCTGCACCCGTCCCCCGTCCCAGCTGGGCAACTTGTCCCAGCCCCAATCCCTCCCTTCCTTGCTGTGGGGGCATTGATCTGCCGCCCCCCCCACCCTTTCCCTCCCCGATCCATCCACCACAGCAAACTTACCAGCTGGAGGCAGCTGTGTCCAGCGTGGTTGAGGACTGCTGCCTGTTTAGTCTATGGCCGAATCTTCGAATCCAGTTCAGCGGAATTGAATTGGGACAGCGACTCAAATCACCAAATCAAATCACTGTCCCTCCAAATCAGCCGAATCTGAATTGAATACTTGCTGCTTCACAAAGGCTTAATGTCCTCCACATTTTCCAGAAATAAGATACCTCTCTTTGGCCCTGGGTGTAGACCAGCAGCCTCTGAACATCAAGATATTTTGTCTTATGCGCTTTAGCGTAAAGTTTCTTGTAAGCAGGAAAAACATCTTGGTGAACAAACTGGGCTGTATGCACACTGTACACTTCAGTCTTTGAAAAAAGACAAAACCATTCTCCAGAAGGGGGGAATCATTAAATATGAACTTCTTTGCCACAGGGATGCTCACAGTTTTGTTCCATAGTGGGGAAAGATGGGATCATAAATCCTTTATGGAAGTTTCCTTACTTTTTTTTTTCCTGTGTCTTCTTTCTAGAGAGAAATAGCAAGATAGAATTTATATAATTTGACTATGTGTAGCAAGTTTAGTTCTTTAATATTTTTGGCCACTAAGACTATGCCCAATTCCTGTTTGCCAAATATGTCCTTAAAGTTGCTTTGCATGCTACCTCTGTAGCTGAATTTGCTGGATCTGGTCATTTAGATCTTGGCAATTGTTTAAGCAGCTGAAGTTTGTGTTTAAAAGGTACTATAAATTGTTTTGGAGGTTTGTAGGGCTACAGCTGAAAAAACACCCAAAATAATATCCATCTCCTAAGTGGAGAAAGTTTTTAGCATGAACATCTATTAAAAACACTGCTCCTTCATCTTTCACAGTTTATTTTTAACCAAATAGTCCACAATAAAATGGACTTCATTAATCCTGAAGCTATGGGCCCATGAACGCATGGGGAGAGGTAAGTAAGGGTGTAAACTGACAGACCCTCAGCTACTCAGCAGCAACTGAATGCCTGCACGTTTTTACCACTCACTAAAGACAAGGTAGTCTATGTCTCACTAGAAGGATAAGAACATGCATACAGGCATACTGCGGAGTAGCAGATGTGCTGTAACTTCACATGCTTGCTTAACTTGCCTAGCATGTTTACGTACCCATACACTGAGCTCAGTTAAAGTTCTTGCATATTTTTTGACTACCATCATCCAGTCTAGGAATTTCTAGTCTTTGTCCATCTGCTGTTCAGAATTTATCTAAAGTTCTGGTGCAACTGAGAGGCCTGGCCAAGGGCAAAGCATCCTGATTATCCAGTTAAATAGGAGCAGACCATTGCAATATGCCTTGGAGAAAAGGCCAAGTGGAAGGCAGTTTTTGATCAGAGGATTTTAATGGATAAGATGCAACGTCCATTTTTTACATCACCCCAAAAACATGAAGGTACATCATGTCGATCTAAGGCAGCTTCCACAGCATGTCTGTAGAATTATTTGATTGCTCTGTGAAGCTATATTCCAACATGCTCAGAGCTTTACTTTCTGACTTTGGAGGCTTGGTATGATAGTTCAGATGCATTTTCCTGTAGTCTCTGCTTTATTAGTATTTTTAAACTTTTCCCAGGTGGACTGTTGTTTTTATCTAATTTTTCCAAGAGTAATAATTGGCCCTGGCAGTCCTCAAAGGAGAACAAAATGATTAATCACCTGTAATGAAACCTCAGGCTACATTTCCTACCAGTTCAAATCTGTTCTCATCTGTTATCTTTCCAATACCTTTTAAATCCTGGGGCTGCAGTTTCCTGTATGTCTTTGATCAAAAGCTTGCGTACATATTTTCTACCATCTCTGGTTTCTGAGCTTGTAGCGCTTATTTTATACAATGCCTTGGAGAGAGAATTCTTCCAAAACTCTGTTACCTGAATGTTCTTTCTATTAGTAGCATGTGAACTACTTACATTAGTTCTACATTCACTAAAAATGGTCTCCCATTTACTGTTCTTTAGAGACTCATACAAGGGAACATAAGCCTTAGATATATGAGAGCGCTTTTCCAACTTATAACACACATTTTTTTAAAAAAAATGAAGAGTGCCTCAAAGAGTACATGAAAACTTCTGATAGTGATAGTGAGAACACTAAAGAACCCAAGAGAGGCTTGATGCATCCAGTGGGCCATGTTCATCAGCGTATTTCCTTGATACACTGGGAGCCAAATTGTAACATGATATACGTCCTGTGGAATAAGATAGTAAATACATGATATATGTATTTCAGTATCTGTTCTTCCACATACGTGAATGAAGACCACACATCTAAAAGACCGTTGCTTACTTTGCTAAGAAAAATGAATGTATTGTACATGTATATGTATATGTGTTTTAATATATTTTAAGGACAGAAAGGACCTTTATGGGTATTGAATTTGACCTGCATAATACAGGTTATACTACCTTCATTGTATCTTAATGTTGTTTTTCAAACTTGACAAAACAGAAATTCGTTACATGCCCTCCAGTTTGAAGTTTTAAAATGAACTTGCTGAGTTACAAATGCTGTAAATGATACTATAATATGAATTTCAGACAAGTCATTCACCCAAAATGGAATTCAGTTACCAGGAGAGATTATTAGAGAAAAACTACAAGCTGAATTGAATATGTAAAGGATACTTAGGTTGCTGAAGTTGAAATAAAGGAAGAAAAAGTTGAATTTCTTACCCTTTTACCTATACACACACTCCTCCCACTAAAATCCCAGGAGAATAGCTTTTGCTTATTTTTGGTCTTACAAAACTGACTATCCAATTTTAAGATTTATTGCTAGCATGTTTTTAATGTGTCCAAAGCAAAACAATGTGTAATAACTAAACAAATCCATTTCTCTTGTGTTTTTTTTTTTTTCTTTTGTTTTATTTTACTAGACTAACGAAAATGACCTAAGGAAGTTTTTTGCCCAGTATGGGTGTGTAAAAGAAGTGAAGATAGTTAATGACAGAGCTGGAGTATCAAAGGGGTTAGTATAGTAGCAATATGCACATTATGGAAATTGAGAACACAACAGTAAGTGGAAAAGTAGAATAAAACTTGATTATGACTTTTTCATGGTTACTAATGTTGTTATCATAGGACTGTGACTCTCCCAACAATTTCAGTTAATATATGTGTTTCTTAATTTTAACAGTGTCCAAAATGGCTTTATTCATAGATTAATGATTAGCATCACCGTTCCTTCCCTCTCAGCACTTCAACCTCGTTATAATATAGGGTATCATTGGCAAGAATGTGTAATAGTATGAATGAGATCTTAATTTCCACTCTAGTTGTTTATGCCATATGAAAGGGTAAAAGTGGAATAAAGGTCTCTAAAAGACTTAGAGCAAGCCTGGAAAAGATCCCTATAGTTCAGGATCTATATGAGGATGCCTTCTGAAAACACTATAACACACCTGGTTTAAAGAAGGGCTGGATGTGGGGTGAAAATGTTGGGGCAGTGGCACAATATGCAGTGTGATGGCATTTAGACAGCTGGGGGTATGCTGTCATGACTATAAAATGTTTCTTGTGCCAGGGGCTGCAGAGCAGCACAGAAATAGGAGAGTTCACAGGTGATTTAAAACTACACTTCCTGAGTGGTGAGTTCTGTGCTGCAGCTTTGTATTGCAGCACTGGCTCTCATACTGTGATTAGATCCATTGCTTTCCTTTGTGCTACTGCTTCTTGTAGTATTGAACATCATCATATGTGGTGTTCAGCATGACTGGCCAGCAATAATGTCAACCATACAGTAACCACAGATAAATATAGGTAATAGTGTTTTCCTGCAAATTTGCCTCATATCACATTGTGACAGCATCACTTTGCTTTTGGTCCTCTGAGTGACATTGAAGTTTGATGGTATCTTTCCAAAACTACAGTTATCGATTTTTAAAATGGAAAGAGTTTAACAGACTTAAATTTTATAAACATACATTTTAAATTAAATCAAAAGTTAAAATGTTATGCAAGAGTAAATCTTATGTATCAGACCTGCTTACTTATTTTATATATAAGTAGCTAAGTTCAATTTATGCCATGGTTCTTTGAGTACCTGCAAGCTAGCTTCTTTAAGGACAAGATTTAATCAGACCAGTTTGAATTAGAATACATTTGCTGTTAAATGTGATGATATATTTAAAATCACATTTTCATTAGGGGTGCACCAATAAAGATTTTTTGGGCAATAGTGATGGCCAATTATTAGTGAGCCTTATTAGTTGATATCGATCTGATTGCTGATATGCAAGCCCGGCAGCTTGGAAAGCAGCATCTGACTGGTAAGTCTGTGGGGGGAAGGGACCAGGGGGAAGGGAAGGGGCGTGGGAGGGGCAGATGGAGGCCTCTGTAGTTAGGGAGGGAATGGGGTGGGGCAAGGGCAGAGGCTGCCCAGCTGGGGAGGGGCGGGGTGTGAGATGGAGCTGCAAGCAGCTTGTCCAGAGGACACAAGAAAGGGTGGGGGGGAGGTATGGGGTGCATGTGCCCTCCAAATATGTGTGCAGGGGCTTAGGTTTGTGTTTATTGTTTGTACCGGGCTAATAGGGAGGAGGAGGCCTCATTGGGGGCACACATTTGTGTTGAGCCCAGCACCAGAGGGGTGCAGTCTCAGGGGATGCAGAGAGCCCATCGCCAGAGGAGCGCAAGCTGCAAGGGTCAGTGGCCCAGTAATAAAAAGTTTGTGGGCTAGTGCCTCAAAGCAAGGCCCAACACAGTAGGTCTAGACTAGAAGGCCTAGCTATATCAAAGGTGCGGAGTCCAAGTAGGACAAGTCCCCAACAGAGCGTAACAGCAATGTAACACCCGCGAGGCATGGGGCGTGGTAAAGGGGTGGTTGGAGCCACGCAGTTGGCCCATAAGGCCTGAGGTGTCTCATTCAGCACTGTACTGAAGAGAGGCCTGGCAAAGGGCCTGCAGATCAGAGAGCTTGAGTAAGGTTCAGTGAACCAGGACTAAGCAAAGGTTCCCGAGTTATTTTTCCATCAAAGATGTGGCAGGCAAGATAAGAGGGTGCCCTTGGGATAGAGCTTGTACTGTCACAGAGCCACCAGGGGCATTACAGCCACCCCTGGGGTTCTTGCTCCATAAAACCAATCTATTGGTGCACCTCTAACTTTTACATTAGCAAAAAATACATTTTTTTACGCATTTCCTTCCTGTATAATGCAGCACATTGAACTACCTTTAAAAGATGCATGAAATCATATGAATGACCCATAACAATATGAATTTGCAAGATTAGAACATGGTTTGTCCTAGCTGTACAAATAGAGGTCTTCCTGGTTTAATTTTTTTTAACTCATGTTGGTGTTGCCTTTAAAGAGAGGTTCTAAAAGGCTTAGTTCTTCTCTGCATAGGAAAGATTTTTTTCAGCATAACTTGGGATATAAATGTAAATAACACAAAAGGTCATACTGGTATGCTGTATTACAGTATAATTATTCTGGTAAGCTTTTTGATTCAGTCTGTCACTTGGGAGAGGGTTTATACAACAATGAAAACACTCTAACACTAAAATAAAATTGTCTGTGTGTGGATGTTGGTAGTTTATAGCTGCTATAAGTTTTCCAGGTAGAAGAGTGCTTAAGTTGGACCAAGCTGCACTTACCTGTATCTGAAAGAACTTTTGTTAATTGATTTCCTTGCCAGTTGTTGTTCATGTTGTAAATTACAAGAAAAATTGACGCTGTTAAAAAGTGTATATTTTTATTACTAGGAACCAGTGGAAGAGGGAATGGGAATGGAGGGAGAGGAGAGATAGGTAATATTGAGCTTAAGTGCAGGGGGAGAATGGGTTATCTGAACAAAGATCTTTGGACAAGGATTGGGGAGATTGTGTGCGTGTATGTGAGAAGTAAGTGAAAGGCTAAAACTAGAAGGTTGGATGATGAGGCTAGAGAAGGTAACAGGGATTGAGAGCTAGTGAAGAAGAGGAAATAGATAGGTCAAATGCTGAGACCAGAGGGAGAATCCAGGACTGTCTGGGCAAGGAGATTAGTATAAGAAGTCTGAGCAGTGGGGAGTAACTTCCGTAAGGAAGGAGAATGGATTTCAGTAATGAGGCAGGGTTCTATAAAGAGAACTTTGACAGCAGCAGGCAGGTTAGGATGGGGCAGAATGTCATGCTTCAGGGGAAGTTTGCCCACTAGCCAAACTCTTCTCCTAAGCTGAAATGGAACCTCAGGGCATTTGTACATATGCACACACCACAGTGGCAGATGCTTTGAAAAGCGCCCAGCGCTGTGCCACATGCAGTTGTATAAGTAGCAAAATGCATGTCAGCGCTGAGAAAATGGCAGTGGTGCACTTTTGAACTAAAACACATCAGAGGTGCTTTAGTTTAAAAGCTCACTGCCGCCATTTTCTGCATGCTGATGCACGTTTCACTGCTTATACAACTGCACACGGTGCAGTGCAGTTTGCCTCTGCTCACGTGCGGAGCAGACTTGATTAATCAAGTCTTGATTAATCAAGTGGCAGATCTCCGGTGCATTGTGGAACGAAAATGTATGTGTATAAATGCCCTCAGTTTCCTGAAATTCATCCATTCCACAAATATTTGTGAAACCCATTTGCACATTGTCCCATAAACTTTTAGTGCTGGTCCATAGAGAAGGATTGATAATCTGCTACTGCCATCTCTTAAATTGTTAGGTGAAATGGCAGAGCTCTGCATGCTAGCTCTTAAAGTTTACACCTAGCTGAGAAACATAGGTGTCAGTCTGATGCCACATAATGGAATTCTGTTTCTTCAGTTCGATTTTTATAAAAACCTAGGAAATTGCGCATAAAAAACTATGTTAAAAGACATTTATGTTGTAAAATCAGTAATCCAAGTTAGGAAATGCAGAAATTATCCTTTGCATTTCTACTTTGTGGTATAGTCTTTGTATAATCACATACAGTTATTTACTATACAACACCTGCCTCATTCAGTGTATAGACAAGATTTGTTCTGGAAGTGAATCAGCATTATGCAGTACATGAGGCTGTTTTCTCTAGGACCTTTCTTTCACTTCAGTTGGAACAAGGAAGAAAAAAATGGTTCTAAGTTTAAGGCAGTTAAATGCTGCCCTGAAGTATAGGATTCTGTCCTTGTCTGTCACAGAATTTGTGCACTAGTCAAGTCACTTAAATCAGACATTTCACATGGGGTCACTAGTTGTTTTTCATTTTCTGCGTAACTAAGAGAATACCTTGAGTTTCTTATTTACAGAATGAGGATAATACCCCACCATTACCTCAGAACTGTTATGAAACACTGAGGTTCTATAGATGATGATGCCATACCAAAGGCCACAAATACATTAATTATATCTTCAGAATAAGTTTTGAATAGTGTGCAGTAAAAAGACCTATGGCTCCACATTGAATAATGAGGATAAAGCAAAATATTGAGTAATTGCTCAGTAAGCGAGCACTGTTCATTTTTTGTATATAACAAAGTGTCATTTTATGGAAAAAATACATGATCATGTAAGTAAAGATTCTTTTTTAATGTAAATATGTGAAAGAACTGACTTAATGTGGAACAGGGCAACCTTAATCTTGTCCTTTTTTGACTTATGTTCCTGATTTTTGCCCTCATAATATTCTTTTAATGTAGTTTGTTCATACTATATAAAATAGACTAAGAACATAATTTATGTCTTTTTAATAGGTATGGTTTTATCACTTTTGAAACACAAGAAGATGCACAAAAAATTTTACAAGAGGTAAGATTTATTCATTGTTATGTTTATTCTTCAGGTAAATTCTTTCATTTGGAAGGGTGTTGCATATATCCAAATAGTAATAGATGTCTGGCACTCCTGTGTTTCTCTGGTATGAGTTGACATTGAAACCCAGAGAGACATTGGGCTACATGACCCTGATTTTGTTGCAGCAACATTTTCTCCTTTCATACAAAGTGAAAATGAGATCTCGTGGGTATAAAATAGTTGGTACTGGAAGTCTTCGGGGCACAATGAGTTGTGTGAATTGGATGCTTCCATGTTAAATATTTTGGCTTTGGTAGGGAATACTATTTCAGTTTCTTCCATGCAAGCCAGTCAGTTAAATATGAAATCTGCCATTGATTCAGTTAATGGAGTGGTAATTACTATCCTCCTCTTCCTGTCCAGCCTGTCTTATTTAATTTTCATTCTTGCTTCTATGGTGCCAGTTATAATAATGGCATGTTTTTTACTTTACTGCCAGTATATACTTCCTTGGACCTCTCCTCAAACATGGAGGTCTAGAATGGCTGCACAACTTGGAACATTTTGAAGTCTGTTCCTCTTGACTTGTTTAGAAATGTAAGCTCAGTGTATAATAAAGGTAATTGAAATAGACCAAAATATGTACCAGGTTTTGAGATTGACTGGAGACCAGTCAGCAAATACAGTTGATTGAAATTTTTCACATACTTTCTTTTATTTCTGACTTGACTTTCTTGAAATTTAGATTCACACACAAGATGCATTGTGAATGTCTCCTATTTTTCTTTGTTTTATTTTAGGCTGAAAAACTTAATTATAAGGATAAGAAACTGAATATTGGTCCAGCAATAAGAAAACAACAATTAGGGATCCCTCGTATGTATTTTCACTATATTCTTCAATTCTGTATGATGGCAAATATTCTTTTAAGCAAAAGTTCAGTTTCTCTTGTGCTGTTCTATTCAGATTATGTGGTATCTTCAAAATATTTAATATTCACAGCAGTTGGAAGCATGGACATACTAACAATAGGAAAAGAACCAGGTTTCTTCATCCTTTTTTGTGAGCCATCCTTTCTGGCCTAAATAATCAGTTCCTTGTTAGACTCTCTCTTTAAGGTAGTTGCTTCTTTTAGCAGCAAAATGAACAAGGTCTTAAGGATGGTTAAAGTCTCTAGTGATATAGCCTACTCTCTGGGACAGGCATCTTTAGGTAAAAGGAGATTGTCATACACATTTTCCTGATTCCAGACAAGCTCCCATACATATTAAAGGATGCAGACTCAGAAGTTATACCTGTCACTAGTAATATCTGACATTGGGAAATAATCCCTTGTAAGGGCAGGTTGCCTGATCATGCTTCTCAGTCAAAACATTGTCTATTGAGTAGTATTTTTTTAATGTATGGTTAAAAGGCGTACACCAGTTTTGTGTCACACCTCTAGCTTTCCCTGTCTCATCTACTCCCTCTATAGTACCTGATGCATGATTATTCCTGCTTTCTGGGCATTGGATATCATGTGCATATTTCATCCACTGCTGCACAAACCCTTATATTCACATCTGTGTTCTAGTTAGCAGTGGCTAGAGAAGCTGTTCCGCAGATGTGGCCAAAAAAACTGACCTTTGCAAGTTGGAGAACAACATCAAGTAATACCTTGCCTGCATGATGTCAGGGTGAGACAAAAACTCTTTGTCAGATAGATTTCTGCTGAAATTAAATGAAGGCCACCAACATGTCTTCCCTCCCATGGTCTTGATAACTGGGCTATAAGAAAAGATCAAGACAGAAGGAGTCAGTATAATAAGTCTGCTTCCTCTGCAGCTGTCCTCTTGCCTCCCTGATATATCTAAGGTATATCAGTGATGACTTCATCATACAGACACATGGCAAAGAATTTCACTAGACTTTAACAACGTCCACCCTTCCATCAAACTGACTCTGGAATACCCCACACAGAAAATTCATTTCCTAGACACAATGATAAAGTTTTGCAAGGGCCACCTTGCCACCACGTTGTACCAGAAACTAACCAACTGCTACAGCTACCTCCACTACACCAACTTTCATCCTAAGCACACCACTAGGTCCACTGCCTACAGCCAAGCTCTATATTATAACCATATCTGCTCTGATCCCACCAACTGGGATGCACACCTCAGGGAGCTAGACCAGAAATTCCTTCACTTGCAGTACAATCCCAAAACCATAGCCACTGAAATCAACAGAGGTGGACTCAGACCCTGCTATGACCTGCTGTAACACTGACCCTGTGACAAAGGCAACAGCATCCCTCTGGTTGTCACCTACAACCCCAGCTTGAACACCTTGGACACATTGTTAATGATCTCTAAACCCTCCTGGTAAATAATAACCACCTCGTGGTAGCCATAGTAGACAACACTGTCCTGGCTTATGGACAGCCGGGGGCCTCAAATGGTATCCCTCCAGCAACTGGTTACCTAACTCCTATTCTCACCAGTCTTGAAATGGACCCAAATGCCAGCTGTACCTCTTTGTCAACGCAAACGACATCATCACTGGACCAAATGACATGCGTTATAACATCCAAGGTTCATTTACCTTCTGTTCTACCCATATATATGCCATTGCTTGCTTACAATGTCCCTCTGCCATTTACATTAGACAGATGAGGCAATCCCTATGTGACAGAATAAATAGACACTGATCTGACATCAGGTCCAGAAATACACAAAACCTTTGGCACAGCACTTTAACCTCCCTGGACTTGTTCTTGAACAAAATACTTGTTCTTAAACAACAGAACTTTAAAAACCAACTTGAATGCCAAATTGCAGAAAAAGAAATCATCCATAGGTGTTATATATGGTCTAACAGGGACAAAAGATTAGTATCTTATTACCTAGATTAGTTTTATGACCCCTATGTCCCTAGGGGACAATTGCTTTGTTTTTCTCTTCAGTTCTCCTTGTCTCTCTCAGCACTGCCCTCTCTCTGCTTCCTTCTCTCTTCCCTCTTTTGTCTTCAGATCACTTTTTCTGATAGGCTGCTTTCTGCGTGTCCTTTCATAGCATCTGACAAATTGAGCTGTTTGTTCATGACAGCTTATGCATCTTTGATTCAGTTAGTCTGTAAGGTGCAACTCTACTCTGTTTTATACCATGTAGTTCCAAGTAACCTCAGGAACACAATACCTGGACCACTTCCCTGGACCACACTGCCTCTCTCTTCAGCCTTGTATCTCAGCAACAAGGGAGGACCCTATGCACAATAGTCTTTAAACTGGTGTGTAGACAGAGTCTGCTCAGAGTCCAGGTTATTCAACTGCAATCAATGAAAAGCTTCTTAACCTGCTGCTCACAAACAAGGAAGAATTGGTGGGGAATGTTGTAGTGGATGACAACTTGGGCAACAGTGCATAGGTGGAGGGAGAAAATATTATTTTGGGGGCTGAATATATGTGTGTACACACACACACACCCCCACACTCCCCCGAGGCATAGGGGCTCCTGTTGCTATACACATCCTGGAGGAGACACGGGGGGCCATGTGCCTCCCAGATTTATGCATGGGTCGGAGGTGGGCTGCTGCTGTGGGCTGGGCTCTGTGCCCTGCTGCTGTGGGCTCGAGAGCCATGTGACACCATGTGTCTGCGTCCCCTGCCTACCTGCCTGCCCAGCGGTGGCAAGCACATGGTGTTGCAGCAGGGCACAGAGCCTAGCCTGCAGCAGCAGCCTGCCTCCACCCCAAGCACAAATCTGGCAGGCATGTGACCTGCATGCCTTCCCCAAGGTGCATGCAGTTGCAGGAGCCCCCCTTCCATGCCCCTGGACGAGCTGCTTGGATTCTGACAGTCCCATGTCATGCCCTGGGGCCCTGTTTGTCCCTGCCCCTGCCTCTGCCCCACTCCCTCACTGTGAGGGCCTCAATCTGCACCCCATCCCTGACTTGTTTCCTGTGTTGGGCAGGGTTTAGGATTACTATATTTTCAGTTCCAAAAAAGAGGACACCTGTCACATGGTGGCAGGGGGGAGTGCGGGAAGGTGACTGTGGTGGGGCAGTGATACGGCAGTGCCCTGCCCCTGCTCATTCTGTTATCCCTCGCTCCCAAGACAGGGCTGCCTGCCCCCCCCCCTTACGGCTGTCCCTCACTCCCAACCCACAGACCCCAGCCCTGCCAGTGCCCCTTACTCCCAAACCGCAGTACCCTGCCCCTGGGCCATGCTGGTTCCTCTCACTCCCAACCTGTGACCCCCCAGCCCTGCTGGTGCCCCTTACTCCCAACCTGCAGTCCCCTGCTCCCCCTGAGTCCTGCTGGAGGGGCCCCAGCTGCCCCTGTCCCAACCATGCTGGAAAGCAATGCCTCAGACTGAGTCCAGCCCCAGTGTGAGCTGGATGGAAAAGGAGGGGAGGCTTGTGATGCCGTCTACCCTGGGCTGGGGTTGCCGTGCCACCCCAGGAGGCCTTGCCAGAGTCTGCCTGGCCAGAACCCACCACCCTCTCCCTACCCTGCAGCATCTCCTGGCCCCTCTGCCCCTGCAGGCACTGGTCTCTGTGCTGCCAGCTCAGATTTGGAAAACCCACCCTGACAGAGATAGGAAGACTCAAAAAGAAAACATGTCCAGGAAAACCCGGGCATATGGTAACCCTCAGTGCTCCACAAGCTGCTGGACTGTGATCTTGACTGTTTGCAGGGCAGGCTGTGGCTGGGTGGCTGTGTCTGTGCGCATCCCCTGTAGCAGCCGCTCAGAGCCTGCACCCGGGCTGCCCTGTGTCCCTCTGTGCTGTCACTGCTGTCTCATGTCTGGGGTGGGGGGTTAGCCCCGGCCTTCTGCTGCCTATGCAGCAGTGACCACAAGATGATTGAATTCAGGATCCTGAGGAAAGCAAGGATGGAGAGCAGCAGAGTAAGGACCCTGGACTTCAGAAATACAGATTTCAACTCACTTAGGGAACTGATGGACAGGATCCCCTGGGAAGTCAGACTGAGGGGGAGAGGAGATCTGGCTGTATTTTAAAGAAGCCTTACTGAGAGTGCAGGAACTGATGTGTAGGAAGATTAGCAAGTATGACAGAAGACCAGCTTGGCTTAGAGGGAACTCCTCAGTAAACTAAATCACAAAGAGGAAGCTTATAAGAAGTGGAAACTTGAACAAATAACTAGGGAAGAATATAAGAGCATTGCTCAGGTGTGCAGAGATGAATTCAGGAAGGCCAAAACACAATTGGAGTTGCAGCCAGCAAGAGATGTAAAGGGTAACAAGAAGGGTTTCTACAAGTATGTCGGTAGGAAGAGGAGGATCAGGGAAAGTGTGGGTCCCTTACTGAATGGAGGGGGCAACCTTGTGACAGAGGATGTAGAAAAGGCTGAAGTGCTCAATGCCATTTTTGCTCAGTCTTCACAAGCAAGGTCAACTCCCAGACTACTGCACTGGGCAGCACAGTTTGGGGAAGAGGTGAGCAGCCCTTAGTGCTGAAAGAACAGTTTAGGGACTACTTAGAAAAGCTGGATGTGTACAAGTCCATGTGGCTGGATGGAATGCACCCTAGGGTGCTGAGGGAGTTGGCTGATGTGATTACAGAGTCACGGACCATCATCTTTGAAAACTCATGGCGATCAGGATTGGTCCTGGATGATTGGGAAAGGACAAACATAGTGCCCATCTTTAAGAAAGGGAAGAAGGAAGATCCAGGGAACTACAGACTAGTCAGCCTCACCTCAGTCCCTGGAAAAATCATGGAGCAGGTCCTCAAGGAATTCATTTCTAAGCACTTGGAGGAGAAGAAGGTGATTAGGAACAGTCAGCATGGATTCACCAAGGGCAAGTAATGCCTGACCAACCTGATTGCCTTCTGTGATGAAGTGACTGGATCTGTGGGTGCAGGGAAACCGGTGAATGTGGTGTACCTTGATTTTAACAAGGCTTTTGATATGGTCTTCCACAGCATTCTCACAGGCAAGCTAAGGAAGTGTGGGCTGGATGAATGGACTGTAAGGTGGATAAAAAACTGGCTGGAGCATCAGGCTCAGAGAGTAGCAATCAATGGCTTGATGTCTAGTTGGCAGCCGGTATCAAGCCAACCCCAGGGTCGGTCCTGGGGCCAGTTTTGTTCGATGTCTTCATCAGTGACCTGAAAGATGCCATAGAGTGCACCCTCAGCAAGTTTTCAGATTACACCAAGTTGAGGGGAGTAGTAGATATGCTGGAGGGTAGAGCTAGGATTCAGAGTGACCTAGATGTTTTGGAGGATTGGGCCAAAAGAAATTTCATGAGGTTCAACAAGGACAAATGCAAAGTCCTGCACTTAGGATGGAACAATCCCATGCATCAGTACAGGCTGGGGGCTGACTGGCCGAGCAGCAGCCCTGCAGAAAAGGACCTGGGGGTTACAGTGGACAATAAGCTGGATATAAGCCAACTATGTACCCTTGTTGCCAAGAAGGTTAATGGCATACTGGGCTGCATTGGTAGGTGTGTTGCCAGTAGGTCAAGGGAAGTGATTATTCCCCTCTATTCAGCACTGGTGAGGCCACATCTGAAGTACTGTGTTCAGTTTTGGGCCTCCCACTACAGAAATGCTATGGACAAATTGGAGAGTTCAGCAGAGAGCAACAGCAATGGTGAGGGGGCTGGGGGCATGACTTATGAGGAGAGACTGAGGGAACTGGGCTTATTTAGTTTAGAGAAGAGAAGACTGAGGAGGGATTTAATAGCAGCCTTCAATTACCTGAAGCAGGGTTTGAAAGAGGATGGAGCTAGACTGTTTTAGTGGTGGCAGATGACAGAACAAGGAGCAATGGTCTCAAGTTGTAGCAAGGAAAGTTTAGGTTGGATATTAGAAAGAATTTTCTCACTAGGCAGGTAGTAAAATACTGGAACAGGTTACCCAGAGAGGTGGCAGAAGTTTCATCCTGGGATGTTTTCAAAATCTGGCTAGACAGCTTTGGCTGGGAAGATCTAGTTGGGGATGGTCCTGCTTTGAGCAAGGGGTTGGACTAGATGAGCTCCTGAGGTCCCTTCTAACCATATTTTTCTATGATTCTATCACATGGGGCTCGCATGCAGCTCCAGGGAGTCTCACACCACTGGGGACAAGCCCCACATGATGGAGCTGGAGGCCTGGCCCCACTTTCTGCTGCCACATGCAGCTCTTGGGGCTCTGCCAGAAGTGGGAGGGAGCCCTGCTTCTTGCTTGCGGACAGAGTCCAGAGAGGTGAACGTGGCAGTACGGAGCAGGGCCAGGCTGTGGCTCAGCACAACAGCTCCCTCCACTGCCCAGGTGAAGTAGTTGGACTTTCAGCTGTGGCAGGCCCAGTGGATTTCCAGAGCTGTTCCTGCCCCAGGGAACAGCTGTGCCAGTTCCAGCAAGTTTCAGGAGCTGCATGTGGTGGCAAGGACTGGTGCTGAGTCAACCTGTCTTTATCACATGGAGTTCAGATGCAGCTCCGGAGACTTGTGTGCCACCAGGGGGAAGACCCACTTGATACCCCCAGCTGGCTGGAGGCAGCAGCAACAGCATGCAGACTCCTCCTTCCCTGCTTGCCTCCCTGCCAGTGAGGGAGGAGAGGCGAGAGGAGGGAAGCAGAGCTGAAAACAGAAATCTGCATGCTACTGATGCTGTCCCTGCCACAGCTGGGCTGCCTGCACAGTGACTCTTCACATCAGCTGGCTGTAGTGATGTAATACTTGATTCTAAGACAAGGCTTTGCTTTCCCTGTGATGAATGGGGGGAAAGCCTCGTCTTGGAATTGAGTAAATATAGTAGTAAAGAAATCTTCTATTTAAAATGTTCTTAGTTTAAAACAAATTATATATTTTATAAGTGTTTATTCCCCAACATACAGTTTTTATACTCTATATTTTTAAACACTTATAAAATGCTTAACTTTGTATGTCTTTACTTCCTTTATATTAAGAATTGCATATCTTTGTTCAGTTTTAATTTCAACCTGCTGGTGGTATAATGTTTGATACTATCATTGTTTGTTTTAGGATCTAGTATTATGCCAGCAGCTGGAACAATGTACTTGACTACTTCAACTGGATATCCTTATACTTATCACAATGGAGTGGCTTATTTTCACACTCCTGAAGTTGCTTCTGTTCCACAACCATGGCCTGTAAGTAACATATTTTCACACATCTGAAAGATTATGAATACTGCATGCATCTTGTAGCTAAATAGTGCTCAACACCTGACCTGGCTTATGGTGGCATGTCATCTGACCGGCTGGGCTCCCCTTGGATCCAAAAATTTGGTGAAAATTTGGGAAAGA